AACATGCCTTAACTTTTGTACTTTTTCTTATTGTACTTTGATTTTACCATAGCACATTACATATATTATCATTTATTATATCATAATTTTTGGATTTATCACATTATTACGAATGTGTACTACTTATATAATTCCTCATGTCTTAATCATAAATTAAAAGATAAGTATATAAGTACCACATGCAACATTTAACATGACCATTTGCATATTCTAAACTTGCAAGTCACAATAATTCAGTTAATATTACCACAAACCATTCAATTCCAACTGACATATACACTCATGTCCTAACAAGTTCAAATCGTCTATCCAAAAAATAAAAGTATTTTCCTCAAGTAGCAAGAACATGTCATGTTTTGAGTTCGCAACCTCATGCACACTGATCATTCGGGCCCAAAAGGACCCTGGTAATCTGTATCAAATCTCGGCTGATAACCAAACTCATCTTGCGGGGGATTGGGTGAAGATGTATTTGGAGCTTCTGATTGTCTCCCCATTTGGCCCATTGGGAATGCAGGTTCTATCGGGAGTTGCATTGGCATTGCATGAGGAAATGATGGCCCACTAGCATGAAATGATGGCCCAGCAGTAGGGAATGATGTCCCTACAGGAGGAAATGCTTGCCCTGTGTGAGGCAACGATGGGGTAGCACTAGGCGGGCGCATCCCGTACGCACTAAAAGCAGTGAATTGTTGTGATAGAGAAGCCTGCATCCTCCCAATTTCTTCCATCATCCGTTGCTTTGCTTCTCGTTGCTCTTTGACTTGCCCTATTTCATCGCGCATCATTTGCATTGCCTCCCTATCTTTCGCTTGTTTTTCGGCCATGTCTGATAACATCAAGCTCCATGTTGAGAGTCGATTCTTAGTCCTTTACAGTCGACTCTAGTAAGTAAGATTGGACTCTTGGACAATTGGGGTTGAGAAAGTAAAAGAATTTCATACAAACTCTTAATAGTCAACATGAGAAAAACTTAGAAATCATTAATAAACATTGTAATATAAAAATATACAAGATAATCATAAGAAAACAAGAGAACTTGGGAAAAAAAATTGAAGAACAAAAGTAAGACAATGATACTACTGTTCTTCAATGGATCGTAATTTTTGAATGGCAGCATCCCAATACTTTTTTTCTATGGTAAGACGGCTACCACTAGGAAAAATCTTTGTAATTGTTTCGGAGGACTCAGTAGGGGCATTGGGTGGATGTGATAGAAATGATGATCGATAACGATTCGAGCAACTTTTTGCAATATGACCGTCACGGTTACACAGTTGACAAGTTACAGCATATCGGTGCGGGCAAACTCCAGCTAAATGTCCAGGAGTATCACATATTTGACAAACAGAGTAGTCTACAATATTAGGCAATGGAATGTGTTGGTCAATTGATACATTATTCTTTGCTTTTTTTAATTTCCTGTTGGGAGAACTCTGAGATGGGCAATTCCATAATGATTCAGGAGTATCCTC